CCTCCTTGTGGGCTACTAGGCAGCAATTGAAGAATCTGTTCTCTCAACCCCCTTGAGGCTGGAATGTACAATCTTCCCTTGTAAAAATAATCATACATCCCTCTGTTTATAATTTTGGGATGCAAGACTTCCTTGTTCCAGCTTTTTAATAATCTACTGCAATTTAGGATCTGTAGAATAACCGAGTCTGAGTTATTCCAACCAAGTGTTAGTTGGTGCAGTAATAGCAGATAGCTTCCCTTCCTTCTGTTCTTCCATTTTTTGGGACAAGGCATCAACAACCTTGTTGTCCTTCCCTTGTTTGTATTCTACCACAAACTCATATCCCAAAAGTTTGGTAATCCATTTTTGCTAAAGAGGAGTACCCACCTTTTGTTCCAGCAAGTACTTGAGACTCTGCTGGTTTGTCTGTATCTTAAAGTTGTGTCCTAAAAGATAAGACCTCCATTTCTTCACTGCTAAGACCAATGCCATCAACTCCATCGTAGGTAGATAGTTGCAAGGCTTTTCCTTGAATTGCTTGACTCATGTATGCTAAGGGCCTACCCTGTTGCATTAATACAGCTCCAACACCAATACTAGAAGCATCACATTGAATAGTAAAGGAATAGAAAAATCTGGTAAAGCTAAGACAGGAGGGCTAGTTACAGCATGTTTAAGATCTTGAAAGGGCCTTTTTGCGGATTTGGTCCATTGGAAGGAATTCTTTTTTTAAAAGGGCTGTTAAGGGAGCTGCTATAAGTCCATATCCTTTGATAAATTTTCTATAATGTCCAGTTAAACCTAGGAATCCTCTAAGGGATTTAAGGCTGGTAGGAAATGGTCAGTTAAGCATTGCTTCAATTTTGGTAGGATCAGCTCGTACCCCATCTTTTGAGATTAGGTGACCAAGATACTCAATTTCAGCACATCCAAAACAACATTTAGATTTTTTTTACAAAAACCTGGTGCTGTTTTAAAATGTCTAAAACAGTTTGTAAATGATGAACATGGTCAGCACTCGCTTAAGCGATCCAGCATAGATAAGCCTTGATCGCTTAAACAATGGCCCGCATCGCTTAAGCGACCAAGGCTAATTTGTGTAAATAATCCTCAAGTATACGATCACTTAAGCGATGCAGCTCTCGCTTAAGCGATCCAGCATATATAAGCTTTGATCGCTTAAGCGATAGCCCATATCGCTTAAGCAACCAAGGTTAATTTGTTCTAAATAATCCTCAAGTACACGATCGCTTAAGCGATGTTAGCTCTCGCCTAAGCGATCCAGCATAGATAAGCCTTGATCGCTTAAGCAATAACCCACATCGATTAAGCAACCAAGCTAATTTGTGTAAATAATCCTCAAGTACACGATCGCTTAAGCAATCCAGCATATATAAGCCTTGATCACTTAAGCGATAGCCCACATCGCTTAAGCGACCAAGGGTAATTTGTGTAAATAATCCTCAAGTACATGATCGCTTAAGCGATGTCAGCTCTCGCTTAAGCGATCCAGCATATATAAGCCTTGATCGCTTAAACGATAGCCCACATCGCTTTTGTTTTAAATAATCCTCAAGTACACGATCACTTAAGCGATGTCAGCTCTCGCTTAAACGATTTAGTATAGATAAGCCTTGATCGCTTAAGCGATATCCCACATCGCTTAAGCGACCAAGGCTAATTTGTATCTAAATAATCCTCAACTGCACGATCGCTTAAGCAATGCAACTCTCTCTTAAGCAATCTAACATAGATAAGCCTTGATCGCCTAAGCGATAGACCATATCGCTTAAGCGACCAAAGCTAATTTGTGTCTAAATAATCCTCAAGTGCACGATTGCTTAAACGATGTCATCTCTCACTTAAGCGATCCAGCATAGATGAGCCTTGATCACTTAAGCGATATCCCACATCGCTTAAGCGACCAAGGCTAATTTGTGTCAAATAATCCATATAAAAAACAAGTTTGCTTAAGCGATCCAGTATAGATAACCCTTGATCACTTAAGCGATAGCGCACATTGCTTAAGCAGCCAAGACTAATATGTGTCAAATAATCCATATAAAAAACAAGATCGCTTAAGCAATGCAACTCTCGCTTAAGCGATCCAATACTCATCACCACCTAATATCATCTGTTCAAAACTTCAAACAAAAATATCCTCAATCACCAAACAATCTCATAAAGATAATCTCATATAGTACTCATCAAAACCATTAAAATTGTGTTCTGATTCATTAAGATTGGTCTGGCAACTGATAAAACATGTCTATACAAAGAAATTGTGTTCTATTTATGCTTCTTCCAAGGGAGTTACCTTGTCTTTTTCATCAATATAAGTACAGACCTGTATAAGGAAATAAATTAGGGACACAAATTAGGAAACCCTTGAATGGATTCTATTGATTTTTGCGACAATTTCAGCTGTGAGCTCAACCTGGCATGCATTTATAACCTCCTGAAGTTGGATTGACTTGGTAGCTCCAAATACAGCACTTGCAACAAGAGGGTGTCTCAAAACAAATAAAAGGGTTTGATTAATCATAGTACAGTGCAACAAACAATAATTCCTTTCATGCTTTAAACCTTACTTTACCAATTCAGTAATTCACACAAATACAAAGAGAGAGAGGTTATACCAATTCCCTACTGCAGATGCCTTCCTTTCTTCTCCCTTCGTTGCTTCAAACCTTAATAAAAAAAAAATACAAAACAAACAAACAAACCATACATAAAACAAAACTAAAAAAAAAAAAAATACAAAAACTAAAAAGCAATTCCATACCCTTCCATGCCAAACCTTACTCAACGTACAACCAAGAGCACAAATAACCCAACAACAGACCCACAATGCACATAAACAAGTCACAAGCAAGAGCAACAGCAATCCAATAACACAGTAACAAGAGAAAACGGCTATTTCATTAAGATTCCAGAATTTACAAGATAACGAAAAAAAGTGATTAAAAAAAAGGCAACACCCAACTGGTCTTTTCCCTTTCTGGCCCCTTTTCCTTTCCTCCAGCACCCCCACCAAAAGCCGATCCTTGTTGGCTGTCAAAACCTCCAAATCCAATACCACTTGTAGCATAATTCTCTCTAATAATTCAGCATCAATTCTTTTATTACTGGTCATATTCAGCACCATCTGTATAGCTTCTAGAGCCTGCAAAAAAAAAAAAAAAGTAAAAAAAAAAATTTGAGTAAACAATAAAGCATAAAACATTGATAACTGAAGAAAAAGATTATTTTGAAGTATACTGATTTCATATTCACTAACATATCATATGATCTCATACATTAATAGTATCCAAAAAAATTGAATAAATACGTATTTTTGCATATATTTTTCAGGAAAAAAGTTACTCCAAATGGATGTATTCTGAGCCATTGGGGACCAAAATTATAAAGATCATTCACCATAAAGTCTTTGTTAAAATTATTTTCTCCAGCAGTTGTTAAAAAACACACACAAATGGGTGCTCTGGACTTCGCAGAAGAGACCGGAATAGGGAGGCTCGGGGCTTGCCTGCATATTGCAGGGCTGTCTATGCGTGGATAGCGTATTTCCTCTGATTTACAGTGTATTTTTCCTCAGCACCTGATTGCTAGTGTTAAGACTCCATTTTTTCTTCTAAATGCAGCTTATGATACATGGCAGGTAAGTCCTACATCTCTATGATGCAACAAAATGAAAAACATTTCCTTTATGTTCTTCCCAAAAGTCATCCATTTGCAAAGGTTCCTGAAGATTCTTGGTTACTTGTTGTACTCAGTAGTTCCAAATTTAGACATAATCAACTTTCTTCAAATGCTCAAATTCGTTAAAACATAGTCTTAAGATGGTTCAAAAAAGTTTATTGTCTTGAGCAAAGATTAACTGCTACCTGGTTCCTCACAATTGGCGCATGGATGGTGGGTGATTCTGAAGCATGAAATTTCATGGCTCGTGATGCCTATAAGCTGCCTTAAAAATCGTGAGACCTGAGCACCCAGATGAATCTATCTGAGTTCTTTTTTCCTTTCCTATTAATTAGATTCAGGTCAGCTTAGCTCCACCATCGGTTGATCCTCATGGCAATTGGCATGAATGCAGAAACAACTATGCTCATTGCACAGCATCCCAAATTGGTTTTCTGCTCGGTGATTTGATCAGATGTTTTAATCTCTGTTATTATAAAAAAAAAATAGGATCTCAGCTATTGTAACTTAACCGCGAATGGCAAGCAATGCAAATTGCAAATAGCAAAGAAATTGAGAAATAACAGAAAATTGAAAGGAAAAAGGAGAGACAGAGAGAGGTGTGTTTGAATCATGTTTTGAGAAAGAAAAACTGAGAGTAATGTATTTTGTCTTTCAAATTTTAAATCAACTTCTTTTTATTATACTTTAACTCACAAACGTTTAAATTTTTTCACCCTAACCATTTTTGTTGCTTTAATTACCCTTAAGTGTGTCATGTCAGATTTTTTAACCAAAAAAAAAAAAAATCAAAAACCTTTTCAAGGTTATATTCTCAATTCAAAACTTGGGAAGGCCTATCAGTTAAATTTCCTCTTAAATCGCCGCCTCTACTTGAGCTAGAACGTCGTATTACATTTTATATATTGCTGATGCAGTGTGGTCCGATAGAAATTTCAGGCCATGTTCAAATCAATACCTTTTTTCAGGACTCAATCGAGTTCCACTCTCTATGCCCAAACATTGCTAAAAGCCAATGCACATGATTCATGGCCTTCCTTGCCCATCTGGATGACGAAACCGAACTAGAATGACCTTGTCTCAAAATTGGCAACAAAATATTAGACTTCCAATCACAATATACAGCACATGCAAGGCGTTTCACAAAATAAACCTTCATGCTCAATTTGTCTAAAGGTCCAGCTTATTCAACATGTCTCTTCTTCTTTGTTTTTTGTTTCACCGATGTCATACTCGGGCTCTAAACGTGATTCTCCATTTTCATTCAAAGAATCACTAAAAAACTCACTAAGTTCATTCACGTTTGATTTTCCGTTCTAGAAATAATTCAACAATCTATCTTGAATCTCTACAGAGATGATATCCTTGTTCTTAAATAATTTTATAAAATTCTCTCCTCCCTCTATATCTTCTTCACTTATAAAGTATTTTAGGCAGGACGAAAAAATTTCCTTCCTAGGCTTCCACACAGTTTTACAAACCACCAATGCTTCTTCCATCACTAACACTGCTTTTTGAGTTTGATCATTCTGAAAATACCCAGTTGCCATATGGAGCCATGTTTTCGGATTAGGCTTCCCCCCCTTCAATTTTGCCCCATCTATAAGATTTTCCGCCTCCAGCAAAAGCCCTTGGCTGCAGTAAGCACCAATCATGAAGTTTAAAAGCCGAATATCATAGTATTTGTTTACTGATTCCCACTCCTCAAATGTCTTCTTGGCGCTTTCAAGGTCATCAAATTTCAACAATGAAGTTATGACACATATATAGCTGTTATTGTAAATCTTATGGTTGTGCTTGTAAAGTTCCCAAAGTCTTAAAACATCATCTTTCTTCCCAAATTTTGCACATTGTGTGATAAGAAACTCATATGCTCTATTGCTATTTTTACCTGGTATTAGTTCCTCAGATTTCTTCAGCATCTCCACAGCTTTGTCCCAGAGTCCAGCTTTTGCGTACCCACTTGCTGCATTACTGTAAACTGTCCAGTCCAAAACAAAATTGGGATCTGATTCCATCATTGCCAGTCTTTATCAATTCCCTCGACATCAGATGTAGCTGGAAAGGCACTCACACGTATACCCATTGTAAATTTATCATGTCCAATTCCTTTTTCTTGCATTTCATGCTTCAGACTATCAAGTTTCTTGTAATTTGCAGTCTGATAATAAAGATTAAGCAGAACATTGTATTGCAGCGATGTCCGAGCCAACCCCAAATCCCTCATTTTCTGCATGGTGGCCTCCGCTTTCTCCACAGATTTTACACTAGCATAGCAGTTAAGTAGAGCACCATAAACTGGAAGGCCCTTTAATTTTTCCGGAACATTGTGGAAATAATTTTCTGCTTGTTCTGTACCATGAACTTTAGATATCAAATCCAGCCGAATGGCAACATCAGCACATGTAGGTGGCAAGCATCTTCTGTCGGTCATCCACATAGAAATCTGTAGAGAGAGAGAGAGAGAGAGAGAGAGAGAGATTATAACAAAGGAAAGGTAAAATTACCAGATCACCAATACCAAGTAATCATACCGCAGTTTCTTTTAATATTTAGAGATAGGAAAATAGAATATTATTTAGAAGAAAAAAAAAGATCATAATGTATAAATGTAAGCGAAATAGCTGCCCATAAAAATTACAAGAGAAAACCTTTATGCTCCAAAAGAATCAAACTAATTACAGAAAAGCAGATCAAAAACCTCCAAACAAAAACACGATAGCAAGGTTCAGAGATTGTCCCTTCCCAATTAAATTGATCGAAGAAAAAGGAATTTCTCTAAATGCTGTCAGGGTAAGTGTCTTTAAAAATAAAATCAAACCAGCATGGCAACTATCAGTAATAGCTCAAAATGTAATTCAGAAGAATGCTGAAAAATTAATTCTCTTCATAAATTCAGCAATTTTCGAGGGTGAGTACCTGGTTTTAGACTAGTAGTAACTACATCAATCCATTATCTTGATCGAGAAAGTCTTTCGTTAAAACCAGCCAATGAGAGCATGCGTGAACCACCTCATTGGAGGGTTGCATGCGCACCCATTTTACTGAAATTTTTCCCCTCTTAATCAAGGGAAGGGCGAATCTTCAATGTGGGGGAGCCAATTTTTGGAACAATTTCCATTGCAATATCAAATTTTATCATAAAGTAATTTTTTTTCTAATTTCTCCAAAAAAAACAAATTATTAAAAAAAATGGCCCTATAAAAGAAACCGATACCTCAAGAGCCTGACTGAATCGTCGGTAGGATCGCAATTCTTTGATGAAGGCTTGGAGTTGTTCTTTGTCAACGAGACGCCCTTCTTCGACCCACTGGTCCAACAATGGAACGATTGAGACCCTTGAATTTCCGATCGGGGAGATCCGACGGTAGAGAGCGTTCATGGGGCCTTTCAATCTAGAAGTTCTCGTGCTTCGTTCGGCTGTTTTGCAAAGAACGAACGAACAGCCGGTGCATTTCCCAAAGCGAAATGAGAGGTGGTGTTGCAGAGGATTGAACTGAAACGTACAAGCTTCGTTTGTACAGAGAGAGAAGAAAAAGCGTTTGTACAGAGAGAGAAGAAAAAGTGCAGAGATTAAACAGGGTTTAGGGTGAAAGAGCGATAGAGGGTTTAATTAATGTTTTTAAATCTGGGTTGCTATTATCACTCCTGAATTTTAGTTTAATTACAAGCGACCATCATAGTTTGAATATTACTATTTTCGCTGATCTCCTTCTCCTTCTTCCCCACCTTCAATTTTGCCCTATCTATAAAAGTTTCCGCCTCCTGCAAAAGGCCCTTTCTGCAGTAAGAAACTCATATGCTCTATTGATCTTTTTACCCGTTCTTAGCTCCCCAGATTTCTTCAGCATTTCTAAAGCTTTGTCCAAGAGTCCAGCTTTTGCGTAACCACTTGCTACTTAACCGTAAACTGTCCGGTCCAAAACAAAATTGGGATCTGATTCCACCATTGCTAGAGTCTTATCAATTCCCTCAACATTAGATATAGCTGCAAAGGCATTGAAGTGTATACTCATAGAAATACTATACTATTATGCGCAACACCTTTTATTAGGGGTGTTTTTGATCTATGTACAATGAGAGGGTTCAAGAAGTGCTAAAAGCTCGACCCTCTGAGATATAATTTAGTAACAGTAATCCCCCATAGTTTCTGATATGATAAATAACCCCATTAGTGAATGGTTAGAATTTACACAGGTATGAATTAATAAATATTATCAAATCACCCTTTTACAATTTAATTAAACACTTAAAACTTAACGACAAGAAATTTCTCTTATTTTTGAAACCACACCAAGATTAAGTTATGAACTCGTTTAAGAAACTTCATTTGATTGAATAGTCTACATAACTAACTATTTTATACAATTCACTTTGATATTTTTTTCATGAAAAACATAAATGAGATAACTATCCTATTGTTCATTATGTTTTCGAGTAATTGATAATTGTCTAAAATTCACATCGATGTAGTTTCATCTAATAATGAAAGGCCGAACGACTTACGCATACCCAAGGTTTACCGAAACGACAAGTTTGTACCCAAAAGGTTTTGAAACGACAAACAAATACCTTCTGTCATATGCGATTAGTGATTTCTGTTTGTTTATAGTGAAAAGACTAAAATGCCCTTAAAGTTTGATATTTTAGTTTTTTTAAAATTTCTAAAAAATCCCCTAGGTTTGCTAATTTAACTAAACACCTCCATATATAAAAAGTTTGTTAAATGACAAAAACACCTCCACCACCTGCGGCCAGATTCCGGCCACCACTGCCAGAATCTGGCCGAAAATTGCGTTACGACACAGACCCGTCGGATCTATGTCGTAACGTGTCGATCTGGCCGTCGAGGCAGCCGATGGAGTTTTGCGGCCTCGACGGCTAGATCTGGCTTTTTCCGGCCATATCCGTGGGTGATCTGGCCGTTGTGGCTGCAAAACTCCATCTGCGACGTCAACGGCCAAAGCTGGCCGTAGATCTGGCCTTTTTCGGCCAGATCAGCCACGGATTTAGCCGGAAAAGGCCAGATCGGCGCGTTACGACACAAATCCGACGGAGTCTGTGTCGTAACGTAATTTCGGCTAGATTCTGACGGGGGTATTTTTGTCATTTAACAAACTTTTTATATATGGGGGTGTTTAGTTAAATTAGCAAACTTAGGGGGGTTTTTAGATATTTTTAAAAAACTAAAATACCAAACTTTAAGGGCATTTTAGTCTTTTCACTGTTAACAAACAGAAATCCCTAACAGCACATGACGGAAGTTACCTGTTTGTCGTTTCAAAACCTTTTGGATACCAGCTTGTCGTTTCGGCAAACCTTGGGTATGCGCAAGTTATTTGGCCAATAATGAAATTGTTTTTTCTCGGAACTAGTTCCCCGTGCTCTCTTTCGGGTCAAGAAAAAAAGCCGGTCGAGACATTTTAGGATAATTAATTAATTATGACACCACTAGCTTTAACTATAAAAAACACCCCTGATAATTCTAAAATTGGGATTGATCTCCCCCTCTGTGAGGCACTGAGATTAAAAAGGAGAGATAATTTTCAAAAGTTCTGGGCATTTTAAATTATACTAACATTTACGGTATGTAATAAAATTAGAGCCCGAGTATGATATTGGTGAATCAAAAAAAGAGGAAGAGACATGTTGAATAAGCTGGACCAGAAAGGTAAATGGAGCATGAAGGTTTATTTTGTGAAACGCCTTCCATGTTCCATTTATTGTGATTGGAAGTCTAATATTTTGTTGCCTAGTTTGAGACAATGGAGGTAATCCATTTCAGGTTTCGTCATCTAGATGGCCAAGGAAGGCAATGAATCATGTGGCTTTTAGCAATGTTTGGGCACAGGGAGTGACCTCGGTTGAGTCCTGAAAAAAAGTAATTATTTGAACTTGGCCTGAAATTTCTATCAGGACCACACTGTATCAGCAATATATGAAATGTAATATGATGTTCTAGCTCAGGTAGAGGCGGCGATTTAAGGTATGCAGCAGATGTTCCCATTCAAAATGCTTCAAGCGTATTGATTTAGTTGTTTAAGTCCATTTCAGTTTGTTTGCTTTTAAGTTTTCTGTTTTCAATTGCAGTTTCTGTCAATTTGAGTTTAGAACAACTTGAAATTTTATTGTACCAATTGTAACTCTTTGATTAGGGTTCTGGTACTCGGTGTATGAAGAGCCTGTTTTTCGCTGTAGGGATTTGTGCGGGGCTCTTACAGTCTGTAATCAAAGTCATCACATATATAGCCTTTATTGTAAATCTTATGGTTCTTCTTGGAAAGTTCCCAAAGTCTTAAAACATCATCTTTCTTCCCAAATTTTGCATAATGTGTGATGAGAAACTCATATGCTCTATTGCTCTTTTCACCTGTTATTAGTTCCTCGGATTTCTTCAGCATCTCCACAGCTTTGTCCAAGAGTCCAGCTTCTGTGTTCCCACTTGCTGCATTATTGTAAACTGTCCAGTCCCAAAAAAATTTGGGATCTGATTCCATCATTGTCAGAGTCTTGTCATCAGATGTAGCTCTAAAGGCACTCAGGCTTAGGGTTGCAAAAATCCGGTTAACCGAACCGGATACATGCATTTTGTAACCGAACCAATTTTTCAGTTCAAGCCATATGGCAAACCGAAACCGGTCCGGTTTTTGCATTAACCGGTTTGCAAACCGATTTATTAATAAATTTTTTTTTGTCTTTTTTTTTATATGTTATGATAAAAAATATTCCTATTTTTAAATGACAATTTTAAGAAACCAAAAGATCCACAACAATTTAACCAATTAATCACCAATTAATGCTACTGAATTCTTCTCATCCAAGCATAATAACTAATAATCACCAATTACATTATCATAAAATACAAACTGTTACTTTAAATTTTAATGGTCAAGTAGAAAAGGGATTAAGAAATAACAAGTGAAAGTTGTAAACAGGCATCTCCCCTCAACTCTAAGGCTCAAGTATTCTTCAATTGGCTAAGTACAATCACGGAATCACCTGTAAGAGGAATGAAATCAGCTTTAATATTTTCTAAATAAAGGGAATGCATTTTGTTTTCAGCAAATGTCACTGCAGAAAAATAAAATAAACACATAAATAATATGATATCAGCTTTAATATTTTATAAATAAAGAGAATGATTCCATAGGATTCTTGTTTATGGTATCTTAAAGTTATTAACTAATTTGTACTCAACCCATTTAACTTTTATTGTTATAGCCTTATAGGTAGCCAGCGAGGTGACTTAATTTCACCAAACTAATTTTATTCCTTATTAACTTATAAATACAGATTGGGGGTTAACTCACTTTCAACCAACTTGCAACCAGCAGAAAACGAAGTCAAAATTGAGGAGATAATCTTCCTTTGTAGATCTTTAGACTCCATTGCTAACTTCACATCCCAAGTCGTGTTTTCTCTGTAATGATGACCCAAAATATCTTTTTAGAAAAGGAAAGCATTTCAGCTTCAATTATGAATATTGTGCTGGAAGAGATTTCTTTACCCATCTACAAAATCTGAGTCACCAAGATTTTCCATCATGGCACTGAACGTGGATTGGAGGTCTTCAAGAACTTCTAATTCAATTTCCAAGTTAGCTTGTGACTGTAATAACAAAAATTACACACAGGAAAAATCTGAATAAATATAAATAATTAGGGCATGAAAAAAATCAAAGTTGACCACACTCAATTCAATGGGAAAAAGTCCACTATGAGAAAACGCAGAACATAAAAGATAACATATTAAAAATTAGCCAAGTGTAATTAATAGAAAATTGGCAGATCAATACATTAGAAAATGAAGAAATATAGGAAGAAAATTACAAGGTCCTTTTCCTGCTGGAGAGGATTCCGAACTCTCCTTAGATAGTCCAATAATGGAGTAGGCAAGCCATAATGGAAAATATTGTGATTGTTTGAGCGCCAAGTACCCTGCACCACCGCCTCCTGTCGAGACTACCAAGTTGCAGATGGTAGCAGAACTACAGCTAAAGCCAAAACAACTTTTTAATAAACTTTGAAAGGGCAGCGGCGGCTAATGAAGAAGAAGATGAGTATGAGTGTAATGTGTAAACTGTGAAGTTAGGGATTCAAAGTTTCAAACTAATAAAGATTTTTAAAAATTAAAATAATATTATTATATCAGGATTATAGGAAAACCGATTTATTAAACCGGTTATAGAAATTATATAAATCGAAAACCGAACCAGAAAACCGGTTTAGCAATTTTTTGAAATCGAAACCGGTTAACCGGTTTTTCGGACCGGTTTCGGTCTGGTTTTTCGATTCGATTTGGTTTCTGGTTTTTTTTTTTCAGCCCTACTGAAGCTTATCATGCCCAATGCCTTTTTCTTGCATTTCATGCATCAGACTATCAAGCTTTATGTAATTTGCAGTATGATAATAAACATTAAGCAGAACATTGTAAGTCAACGATGTCGGAGCGAACCCCAAATCCCTCATTTTCTGCATGGTACTTATTCACTCGAAATTCGTCTGCCTCTATATCATCTTTCCACGAACGAGACCGGTTGACACAAAACCTTAAAACTATATAAATTGTAATACATTTATTCGTTGGGAATTTCTTCATATGTTTTAGGAATTCATGCACATGCACGGTGTCGTTTGGCATTTGGACCGGCTTGCATATATAAGCTTAACCGTACAGATTAAACCATATCAACATTCCATGTTAGTAATCGAATGCACACGTATCTGTTTCACAAAAGCCCTTGTTCCACGAGGAAATTAACACGAAAGTTCAATCAAATCTCCCTATTAAAATAAACACTGCCTACAGGCTGATGAGAATATAATAAGAGGAGAATCCTTGTTCCAGTGAACTCAAATGAAGAGAAGGAAACATATCTCCAATAAGAGAAGGAGAGGATCTAAATTCAAATGGAGACATAATCTTTATTCCTTCAGGTTTAACATTACTTTTATATATATTGTTGGTGCCAAAAGTCAACACATCGGTTGGAAAACGACGGTCTTGATCACTTATATAACACAAGAACACCTTTACTACCCAGAGGTGCCTTCTCAATAAAACAACCGTCAAATGTTTGTAACCGTTGAACATGAATCATAAATCCTGAAAATTCAATCCCCCCTGGACAACCAATCTTCTTTCAAAATGTCTAAGAACCTTGCTTCCATACCAGTAGACCAAGTAGAATTAGAGATTCTTTCAACGTTTCCACTTTAAACCTGAGAAGATTTGCCCTCGGCAACATGGCCCTCACATCCTGATCAAATTCATTGCCAGTCTGCAAAACCCGTCGGAAAGTTGCATTTCTTTGATCTGGATGTCTTGCATACAGAATCTTGTTGTGGGAGTCAATGCGACCCTGCAGAGATGTGATAGGGTTGATCAAGAAAAAACAATACCAAACATTTAAACCCAAATTCTTCCAGAAGAATTTGATTCTAAGCCAGGATTCACAAAAAATTTGAGAACTCATTGATATAGGAAAAAAGTTTTGTATATCCAGACCATATTAGAAATTCTATGAGAATTGCAAGAGTTGTTTGTCTCACTATGAGCCCCTGAAAGATAGCAAAATCACAACAGCAGGACTACTGTACTGTTAGGGTACTGAAATTGTTCCATTAACACCATAGACAATTAGCAGAAGTGTATAACTGTGTTTTCTGAACTCTCATTAGTCATGGAATATTTATCATATTCAGATTGAAGCTTGTATACAAGAAAGAAATATAGAAGAAAACAGCAATCATACCTGTATCTGGTTGTCAGTAATCAAGGTTTCAAGTTCTTTCTCCAGCCCCGCAACACTTGTTTTGAAAGCATTTACCATCATTTGCAAATCAACAGACACAAATGGATGTGTATACTGGATAACCGGATTTGATCATATAAGTCACAGTCCAACTAAAATTCAGTTAAATGATTCTTAACATTTGCACAAGTTAAGCACAAGCACTAGACTAGCAAAATATTACAATAATGATGCAATCTCTGCAATACCGGAAAAACAATAAAATCTAAAACACAATAAGAATGAGAATAAAAATAATGTCACATTATTCTCATTCCATCTTCGCTATAGCTTAAGCGATAAGTTAGGAACTTACAAAATATTTAACCCAAAATGTTACAAAATTTGTGACTCAAATCAATGTAAAAGGCTAACTAGAAGAGAATAATTGTTCCAGTGAACTCAAATTAATTGAAGGAATCATAACTGGAATAGGAGAAAGAGAGGTTCCTAAATTCAAATGGAAACATAATCATAAAACTGATGATTTTTATGAAAGTTTTTTTTTATAATTAATGTTAATAAACAATTTTACTGCTCCAGGGTGATACGAATAGTCTCATGCTGATGTTGATTACTACAGCACTAAAAATACAAGGAGCATTACTTCTAATCGATGCCAACGAAAGGTTTCCACAAAAGCAAACTTGTGATCTTTTAGCTGATCTTAAAGCTGTTGGCCTTAATCATATATGTTAGAATTCTTCAAACCAAAGTGGATTCCGTCAAGGAAAGTATTGCCATGGAACGACTTGAAGCTATTGCTGATGGAACGACTTGAGGGAACTATTGCTGATGGAGCACCTGTGCTGTCAGTTTCTGCAAAGTTTAACTTTGAAGATGTTTGTGAATATATTGTGAAAAATATTCCCCTACCACCACCACCAGACCTGTACTACTATTACTACTTAGAAAACGGGCCTTATGTGAGTATATTAGGATCTATTGATGTAAATAAACCTGCACCAAAGATTGGTGAGACGAAAGGTGTTGTGTTTTGTGGAAGTCTCCGTAGGGTAATTAGTATCACCTCTAATTTGTTCGTGTTAGACTTGAATATTAATATTCGAATCCCTTTTGAGGAGAGATTGTTAAGCTGAACATACACTCCATCCCCATACTTGCTAGAGTTTATGATGAAAAACTTAGCAGAGTAAGACTTAAGGTGAAATCCCCAGTGTTTGAGGTGCACCAAAGGTTTGCAATCAGTCGAAATGTTGAGAATCAATGGCGTCTAATTGCGTTTGGATACATCCAAGGCGGAACAACTGTTGATGGTGAAGAAATGTATCCACAAGTTATTGCAAACTTGGGGTTGAACCTTTGATGGTTCCTGGAAAATGCTGTGGCATTTATGTAAATCAAGCTGCAGTCAGAATTTTGAAATCAAGCTGGTTAAAAAATAAAACCCTAATTCTTTAGTTAACCCCTTTGTTTTTTTTTTTATTGGAGGAGTCCAGGTCAGCTTACGCACAGCTAGACTAGTCACTTTATCTTGAACAAAGCTTTCGAAATAGGACAAACCTTACGGTCCGTAGTTAACAATATTAACACATGTTCTTGTGATTCGAACCTAAGACCATATGGAGATCAAACCTCTTGGCCCTAAGTCTTTACTACTCGGCTAACCTATTGTTGGTTAGTTAACCCCTTTGTTTTATTGACACTCAAAATGTGTATGACACGTGATGGAGCATTTCTACTTCCATATGTTATCGAATAACTACAATAAAGAACAATACAGTAGAGAAAATATTACAAGAAAATGGTATTAAATAATTACAATAAAGAACGATATAACAAGAAAACAACTCAAAACTTCAACACCTTCATTGTGGCGAAGAGCCCCACCACTGACCTTAGGAACCTGCTTTTGGGGTGAACCCATTTGCCTCCTTCCGAATCCCAGTGAGCCCTCAACTCATAACACTCGAAATCAAGCAACTCAATTGGCAAATCGGTATTTAAACATGTAAGTTAAATTGATCAATATCCTCCTAGAAATGTTAGATGTACAAAAACTCTTACAAAGAGTCTTTGTACAAAGTGATGTGACAATTGCTACACCACTAGTTTCACATCAATCTTCTTTTTCTTTTTACAAACTAGTGGTGTGACAGCTGCCGCATCACTTTATACAAAGACTCTTTGTAGGAGTTTTTGTACATCTAACATTTCTCATATCCCCCCGATGTTAATACAGGTCTATTATGTTTAAAATAAATCTCTTTAAACCCTATTTAATACTGAAAATAACCCTCAACCAGAAGAAATGGTTTTAAACTCTACGAAGTACTCCATGACTCCATCTAATTGAGAAGCTTGTCTCCGAAAGGTCATATCTAACACAAGCGTAGAACATTGTCTCCATCTAGTTTCACATTTACGAACTCAAGTTTTGCTTTGATCAACTCTTGTATGACCTCAACTCTCCCTCTGATTGCAGCCAAATGCTGAGGAATTCTACCATCTTGATCAGAAACCAAACACACACCATCATTTTCTTTTAACAATTCTTTCACAACCCTACATGGCCCTTTGGTAGAAGCTACATGAAGAGGAAGGGCGCTCGATGAAAACAGTCGAAACTCTCTGGCAAGTTCTGGCTTTCTACACAGAAGAACCTCGCTGAAACTGAGATATCCATCAAAAGCTGAGATGTGTAAGGGTATTTCATTGAATGGGGTGAGTGAAACTCTATGATCAATGAGAGGATCTTCTTTTATCAATCTAATCAAGGTATCTTCACAGCCTGCAAAGGCATGCTTCAAAGAGCTTATTAATTCTTCTATCTGTCTCTCTTATTCTCTGTTTTCTTCCTCTCCATTAATGACTTTCTTTCCTCCATGGTTCTAACCGCATTTTTATAGCTTTTAATAATTTTTCCCAATCCTTGTCCCTCAACATCTTTTGCAGACGGGTAAAAATCGTTTCACTTCCCTAGATGTAAGGGTACAAAGCACTAGTTATCTATCAAGTCTATCTAACACAGGATAGTCAAACAGAAAACAAAAATGTATCCATTGATTTTTGTGAGAATGAATGTGGATAAGAAAAAACGTAATTTCTATTGCGAAGAAAAAAAAATATCATCCTAAATTATTAAACTACTGTCCGGGAGAATTGTCTTAGAAATCATATACTCAAACTCCTTTTATAAGGGAGCGCATATGAACCGTGCATCCATAGGCTTAAATCCTCCTAATAAATCAGCAACGTCGCTCTGTTGACTCAAGTTCTGGAAAAGAAAAACAGAATCATAAGCTCCGTTGTTGCTCTGTTTCCACTTCTGGTCATCATTAACAGCCAAACGACAACCAAGATCTGGCTATCAACGGCCAGATCTTTGGCAGTAAATCTGGCCATTTCCGGTTAGATTCAGGTGGATCTGGTCGAAAAATATTAGATCAGCGCACTACTGACCAGATCCAACTGGTCATATTCCATTCCAGTGACCTCTTACCATCATCCGACGATGTGGCCAACTGATTACATTTAATGGGTGGGTCGGGTATTTTTCTTAATTTTAAAACTTTTATTGTAGGGAGGTGTTTAGTTAAATTAATAAATGTAGGGAATAAAAAACGAACACATTTTCAAATTCAAATCTTATTCTTGTAATAACAATCTAACTCAACTTTTTCAAAAATATTATTCTAAATACTCTACCAAAACACTGCCTCTTTTTTCGTTGATCTCCCATACAAAGTGCAGAGCTAATAAAATTAATATGTATTATTTATCTGCCCAGAATATCATTTACCGGTTTACCCCCATAAAATTACATTTACCTCTCGAGATTATCATTCACCCTGCTAATAAAGTATCAAAAACGCCCTAATTGTGGGATATATAATACTTTTCAAAAGGCTTTAATTTACAATTTTTTTCCGGGTTACTTAAATTTACCGACTTTTACTAAAATTTCAAAATCACCCCTAATAGTTTGAAACTTACTGTTGATCTTCCAAAGCTCTCTTGGAATTGGGAGACAAACAAGAGATCATATATCGATAGTTTATTATTATTATTATTGTCAAGATAAATCCCTTATCTATTACAAAACATCCTTAATCAATTTTTCCTTCTCAAATCCTTTTGAGGAAGAGATTATATATATTGAGTAACAATGCAAAATGGCCGATATTATACACTATGGATGTTAATACACAATATAGATATAAGAAAAAGAAAAAGAAGAGATTATATATATTAACTAAACAAATTTCATCAAGATTTCTCCACTTATTATAAATACATTTAATGTGGTGTAACATCAAATATTATATAGTTGTAAGAGTTGCCTGACAACCATTATACATAAAAGCATTAATAATATGAAATTACAAGACATGAAGTTAATTAATTATTAGTAGGGAATTTGACATTGGGATGAGATAAGGCCTTCTGACAACATTCTGGATTATATCTACAACAAAATGGAATTTCAGAATAACTTATTTCAATCAATGTACCAACAACTAAAACCACTATTATTATCATCTTAAGCACAACAGCCTTCATCATTGAGCTTTCTATTATTAACGGAGATACTATAAGATGAACAGAAGTGAGCAAAGGAGAAAGAAAGTTGCTGCTTGCCTTTTCATTCAACATCACAGGTATATATACAAGTGTAATAGATATGGGATCAGGAATTTAAAATGGAAATACAAATTCAAATCAAGATTTTTGACTGCTTCTTCTCTTGACTACTACTTCTCTAATAGATACTACCTTACTGATCAGCAACGCTCTTTTGACGATCACTATGCATGAATATGATAGAATAAATGAACATTACTTCATCTTTCTTTACATTGAAATAAATGGTTAAATGTAGTTTAAAAACCTCAGCAAAACTATCCCTCTATACTAATTATGTAACATGTTAAAGCAGAACTTATAAGAGTAAAGCTTTTATGAAAGATTTGTTAGTTGTTTGGTTAAGAAAACGTAAAAGAGTTTTATGAAATCATCATAAACATTCGTCGTAATCTGTAACCATTGATGCAGTGTGGTCCTGTTGGAAATTTCAG